TTAGCAGAGATAAGGACTCAAAAATCTGGATGGCAGGACAGGGGGATACCAACTAGAGTCAAAATTCAATCAAGAATCACAGGAAAAAATCAGGACTTGGGATGGGAAGAGAGGGGGCAGTAGGGAAGAAAAGAGGGTTTGGCTGATCGTCTGTTTACAGTATTGGCATGCAGGCAGCCGAGTTTTTAATACCTAAGCAAAAAATGAGACTATTTTTCTCCAGAGAGATGGACTACTCTGAGAGTAAACCTCTAGATACTAATAACTGGGGATCCACTAGAGAAGAAGCCAACTTACTGCCCCAGCACGTTGCGGTGAGCCCAGAGCTGACATCTGAATTTATCACCAGCTTTTACTACCTGACCCTTAAATATGATTAGAGAACAGGTCACTAGACATTTGCAGAAAATCTCCAATCACAAAAGGAGTGCAAAGCAAGCAAGCAAAAAGATATTACTACACAAACAGAATACATGCTGAAGAAAAATAATCAGACGACAAAGAAGAAGCTCTGAAATTAGAAATTGGATAGCTAAAATAAAAACCTAAAAGATAGAAAACCCAACAAACACGTTTCCCAGTAGAGAAATGAGGAAGACAGAAAGTAGTAGATAAGATAAAATTAAAAAATCAGTCCATGAGGCCAACATCAAACTAACTGAAGTTTCAGAAAGAATGAAGAATATGGAGGGCAGAAAATTATCAGACTCCTTAGAAAATTTTTCCCAGAACAAATCTGAATCCAAAGGGCCCAGAGCAATGAAAGAAACATACCAAGGCATACTGTTATGACAATTCAGAATAACAATGATTTTTTTAAAACTATTCAGAAAGCATATAGAAAGAGAAACCACATCACATGTAAGGACAAGGAAACAAAAAGCATTAGATTTCTCAAAATCAGGGCTAGGAAGTTAATAATCAATGAGTAATAATTTTTAAATTCTAGATGAAAATTATATGCAACCTGACATCTATTCAGATTATTATCAAATACAAAGGTATAAAGTAAAATAAATAAAAAGACATTCAGGCATGCGTTAGCTCAAACAAGTACTTTCCATGCATTCTTTCATAGAAAGTTACCAGAAAATGTGCTCCTGTAAAACAAAAGTGTAAACTAAGATTGATTACACAATATGAGATCCAGAAAACTGGGTTTGCAGCAGAGAAAGTTAAGGATAGGATGAGAATGAAAGCTGTTGAGAAGGTAAGGGGTCTCTGGGACTGGGTAGAAGAGTTGGGGAGGCAGGGGATCTGGAAATGAGAGGAACCATTCCTTTGAATACATAGGACATATTATCAATGGGTGTGTGTAAGAGATGAAACAGAGAGGCTGGGAGAGGAATAACAATGTGTACATACAAAAAAGTAATACTAGGTAAATTAAAAATGCAATTATGAACTTTAAGTAAAATGGAAAACCACATAAAAAAGAATTGTAGTCTTATTACACTATTTGACCAGCAGGGACTATTTATCCAATTGAATTACAAATCTTGACTCTCAAATTAGTCAAAAGTTGTCATTATTAATGACACGCAAGGACAGAAATGGAGACTCTATCATGGTTAATAAGTAATGTCTAAAACTGCAAAATCAAGAAAAAGCTATGAATAAATAATTTAGGAATATGGAAGTAAATAACTGGCAGAAGCAGTGTAACTGAAGGTTGAAGGGAACTTTTTAATGTCTTTTAGTACTACTGACTTTTGAAACTTTCTTTCATTAATAACTTTCATGAAAGCACTGCCTTAATAAGAGTCTAACTAGTATGTGAGAAGTATATTATAAAAAGAAAGGGTGGGGCACAGGGAGGGCTGTGCAACACAGAGAAGACAAGCAGTGACTCTACAGCATCTTACTATGCTGATGGACAGACACTATAATGGGGGGGGACTTGATAATGGGGGGAGTCTAGTAACCATAATGTTGCTCATGTAATTGTACATTAATGATACCAAAATAAAATAAAATAAAATAAAATAAAAAAGACAGGGTGGAAAACACTAGTTAGGAAACTAAGGCAAGCCAAAGATGACGATGGTGATGGTGGTGCTGAGAGACATGGAGAAGAGAACATATTTCAGATTTTTTAAGGGATAAAACTGAACAGACTTCCAAATGGAGTTAATAACTAGAAAGGGAGAGGGGTGGGGAGTAAAGGAAAGGTCGAAACCAAGGATGACATCCATGTCCTTGGCTGCTGGGAACATCTGAGATGGGAAGAGGGGAAGGGAGGAACCAGGTGGTAGAAACCAAGAGTTCTGTTTTAGATATACTAAGTTTGAGATGCTTATTTATCAAGAAAAAAAAATGGATGCAGAAGCCTGGGGTGCAGGAGAGAAGCAAGAGCTGGAGATATCAGTTTAAGTCAGTCACAGTTAATATTTAAATTTCTAGGTCTGGTAAGATACCACAGAGAGAGAACAGAGGAAAGATAAAGTAGAACCATATGTATTTGTATCATATTACAGAAATATAATAGAAAATAACACGTATCTCATAAAGAACAAGGAAGTACTTAAAATTTTTATTTCAGAAATAAGAGAGATGAGAAGTGTATTATATGTATATATGAACTGATATATGTAATTTATATACTTAAGAATGTACTGGTTATAATTTAACATTTATTTTCCATTGCAGATAGTGATCAAGAAAGAAATTCTAGGGAAGGAAAAGCCAGGAAAAGTTTATTAGTCACTATAGTTGGAAGAACACCATGAAAGTACAGTGCACAAAAGCCCAAAGAAATGCTCCGTTGAAGGAATACTCACCTGCACAGAATGAGTACGAGAGGTTAAGTACAATTAGGACAACAAGTGACCAAGGACTTGGCAATATGGAGAACATCCATCCGTTACTGACCTTAACAAAGGCTGCTTCAGTGAATGGTGGGAGTGGAAAATATTTTAGAATGCGTCAGAGGCAAGAAAGTAGGCACAACCAACAGAACAGGAGAAGGAAAACCTTCCTAGGAACCTGAAATTTGAAAACGAAACTTGACTGTGAAAGAGCTGGTCGGAGTTCTAAAATAAACTAGGCTGAGTTTCTTGGGGCAGACCTGTGTCACAGATTTCTAATTCCCAACGTGATGGTATTTGGACATACAGACTTTAAAGAGTTAATGAAGGCTAAATGAATTCACGAGGCCCTAATCCAATATGACAGGGGTCCTTGTAAGAGGAGATGAGGACACAGACACCACAGAGGGAAGACCATATGAAGACACAGGAAGAAGATGGCCACCTACAAGCCAAGGAGAGGCCTCAGAAGAAATCAATACTGCTGACACTTTGATCTCAGATTTCTTGCCTCCAAAACTGTGAGAAAATAAATTTCTGTTGTTTCACGCCTGTTGTATTTTATTACGGCAGGTCCAGTAAATTAACACAATGCCCTAGTTTCTCTCTCAAATCTAGGGGGATCCCTCCCTCCAAGCCCCAGGCCCATCCTAGTCAAAACATGAAGCTACCCCATCATTAGCTCTCCCAACAAAGTGTGCTCGGATTACTTCTTCATACAGCTCTTAGTTCTTGAACATTCCAGTCAAAATAAGGTGTTCTTTTATTACCACACCTCAGCTCTCATTCCATGTTTTCTGAAACCACAGGCAGGGCACTTTTAGAAAAAATGATTAAGATTAAAATGAAGTAGCTACTGGTAGTTGAGAGAGCAAGTCTGATGTACGTAATAATTAGGAATTTTGATGCCCCAGGGACAAGTCTGGCAAATATCTTATCCAAGGTGTATGGTCTATATGTCACAACCTCATCTCCAGGTATCTTGCATCTTCAAATCAGAAAAGGAAACATATGCTTTCCTCCTTCCTCACATCCAAACAAATCACAGAGATCTGGTTTCCTTTCTTCAAGAATCTTAAACATCTACAATAAGCCCCAAATCCTTACATCACAAGCAGGAAATTGAGAAAGGCTTTTCAATTTTTTTATCATCATTAAGAGAACAGCTGTAAATTAGAAGCTTTAACTCCAGTTGTGCCTTAGTAAAGCAAGAAAATTAAAAATATACATACAGGTATATAAATACAAATATCTACATATGCATAAGTAGAAGTGGAATCACATTCTCCAAACACGTCTGATACTGAGCATTTACTACATTAATCATGTAATGAAAAAGCCTTGTAGTATTTATTATGAATTCTGACCAATTTATTGCATCAACCTGAACCCAAACTTGAATACTGTAATTACAAAAAAATAAACCGACATTTGGTTCCAAATACTGCCCAATTTTTCTCAATTGTTCCCCACTTTGCTGAGATCTGCAGATATCAGTTATTGTAAATAAAGAAATAAAAAAGATCTAATATGGCCTTGAGAAGTTTTACATCTTCCCATTCCAAGAAGGAAAAAACTCACAGCAAACAAAATAGCACCACTACTACAGAACTAAGAGTTAGGTGACCTGACATTGCAAGTTTAATACAAGCCGGTGTTTTTAGGTTCTGCCTACTCCCAACATTTATTTCTGTTCGGAATGAAGTGTAAGGCTGAACTAGAAATAAACAAGAGGATTTCACGTGTGCTGTAAATCCAACTCTGTCCCTATCCCCGATCAAATGGAGGTAGTGAAACTTCTCATCATTAGGGTCAGAACCTGTAAAAAAGAAAAAGGAGTAACCAATCACTTCACCTTCGAATACAGGCCAAGGTTAAAATCTGGGCAGACTGTGGTAAGAATGGCAATCAAGAGCAGACGCTGCCGGTGAAGCAATATATCTGGTTTAACCCCGAATAAGATGCCCAGCCCTGGATCCTGTTCTTTCTCCAGGATGCCAGGAGGCCTGTCAAGGGTCAAGGGTACATCTCCTCTGAGCTCACCCCTGAGAGGCAAGTGGACAACAGATGACTTTAAGACACTTGTCCATCTACGCTTTTAAAAAGAATACAGAACAAACAATTCAGCAACACGAGTCGAGGCGGCGTGTGTGCCGCGGGGTGTAACTGCCCCACGGCGAGTGCCCCACTCACCGCACACCATCAGCAGCAGGACGATCAGCAGAGTGGCCACGAACACTAGCAGAGTCAGCCCGACGTTGTGCCACATCTTGGGGGCTGGAGGGCAGACGGCTCGGGGCGGCGGGCCGGCGGGCGCGGGCAGGCGGGCGGGCGTCCTGGGCTTCAGCGGCGGGCACCGGGCGCGGCGCGGCGCCGGGGCGGCATGGGCAGCGGGCGCCCCTCGGCAGCGCCCCCAGGGGGCGGGGCGGAGCGGGGGCGGGCACCGCGGCGGGCCGTCGCGACCGAACCCCCTTTCCTCCCCGGCCGACGAGCGCGGGCCGGAGGCGGGACGCAGAACGCCCCTACCCCCTCATCGTTCCGGGGAGCCGGGGACGCGGCGACAGGAGACCCCAGCGGCAGCCGGATGTGCTTCCATGGCGGCCGCAGAGCGCCCGCGGACGGGAGAGGGGCGAGCTCAGGCACACGCGGCGGCCACCCGGCCCTGGTCGACGCCCGCCCTAGGAGCCCTCGGCCCCGGGGAGCCGCAGGTACCGACTTCCTGCGGCGGCTCCGCGGCCCCAGACCTCCAACCCCTGCGGCAGCTCATCTCCGATCACCCCCACCGCTCGCCGCCTCCGCTGCGCGGAGGCCGCTGGGAAATGGTGTGCAGAGCCCGACGGAGGCTCGTCGAGGCCGCTGGGAGGGGACTGCAACTCCCAGAATGCATCGCGACCCAGCCGCTGGGTTTCCCCCTCCCACTCGACCCTGCTGCCTTGGTCTTTCTCAAGCCACAACCCGTCTCTACTGCGGCTTGGTATGCAGCGCAGAGTGATTTTAACCGTTATTCCACATACAAAGTCGTTTTGTTTAAAGACATGATCGACGAAAAGGGAACAAAGGGGAGGCAGCTGTCTGGTAAACTGGTTGTAGTTTATCAGGCAGGGTTATCAACAGGGTTGAACCAAGCCCCGTTGCTGGGAACTATGGATGGATACTTGGGACTTTGAGGAAATACTGCATCCGTGCCAAAGACCGGCCGCAGGCACGGAATCTCACTTTTTCCTCTGACACCGATGTTGTTCTGTACGTTTTCATAGGTAGTGTATTCCAGAAATGGTCCCCGAGGGACTTAAGGACTTATGTTTGCCCGTAATTCACCTGAGTTTTAAATTCAGATAAGTTGCTCCCTTGAGACGAAGCGACAGATGACCTGCAGTTGCAAATTTTGCCGCACTTGTAAAACAAGACACTGTAATAATCTCAAGTACTTTATCTCTACCTGAAATTAAAACTACTCAATTCCACCAGATTACATTTTTCGTTGCAGAGGTGCCTCCAGAAGAGAAGAGAAATGCATAGCTCTCTTTTCAAAGGAACCAGATGTAACCTTTACGTTTTCCTGTAACTTGCTTGCTCCTTGCAGTACTTTACGTTCTACAAATTCCTTTCTTCTGTCTCCAAAAACAAGGAAACAATATCTGAGCAGCAGTCCTTTGACTTAATAAATATATTTTTGCCATACCCAGCTGCCCCACTCTATGAACTATATTCCCCAAACAGCAGTATTATGAGCAAACACTGTATATGAAAATACATTAAGGGACCATGATTTTGCAAATTTAATTCCGGGTTCTTAGAGAATGAATCCTGTGCAATTATGATACATTTACCAAAAAAAAAAAAATGCATTGATTTTGTTTTCGTAGATGGGTCAGTTCTTTTTGCATAAATAAAACACGTTTTTTATCAAAAAATCCAGTTTAACAGTTGAACACAGAAGAACTGGAAGAATTTAAAGGCTTTTATCTTCTCTTTCATTCATGTATATTAAATACCTAATAGATACCAGGCACTGTTCTAAGTGCTGGGGACACAGCAGTGAACAAGACAGCCGTGTTTATAGTCAACATGATTATGCTTGGAAGACACAGTTAATAAGCATAAATAGAGAAATCTCATGAACAGCTAATTCCTATAAAGAAAAAAGAAGGACAGTGTGAAAAGATTATTCTGGATTGGAGTGATCAGGGAAGGCCTACCTGAGAAAGTGACTTTCTGTCTGAGGCCTGAATGACAAGAAGGATCCAGCTAATGGGAAGACTGTACCACATAACAGGAGTGCAAAGGCCACAAGAAGTGAACAACTTAGCCATTTCTCTAAGCCTTGGTAGTATTTTTCAAACCTGGATGCACATTTCAAATCACCGAGGAATTTTTTTTAATTACAAATGGCCAGACCAAAGGAGTCAGAATCTCTAGAAGTCAGTCAAATGCACAGTAGTTTTTGAAGGCTCTTAAGTGATTCTCATATGCACCCATAGTTAATCATTGCTCTAAAGCAGTGGTTCTCAAAGAATGGTTTCTGGACCTGCAGCGTCAGCATCACCTGGGAACTTGTTAAAAATGCAGGTCCCAGGCCCCACCCCAGGTCTGTCCTATCCAAAACTCTGGAGTAATCCAAGTAAAAGATGATGTCTTGGATTAGAGTAGTAATCAATATAATCAGTGAAAAGTGAACAGATTTGGGATAAATATTAGAATCATCAGGATTAGCTAATAAATTTAGATGTGAAGATAGGTGAGGAAAAGAAAAAAATGACTCCCAGGTTTGTAGCTTAAGCTAGATGAATGGCAGTGCCATTTTCTGATGTTAGGGTCCAGGCTTCGGAGGCTTCCCCAGAGAACAAACTACACAGGCATAGAGATGTAAATTCAAGCAAAGTCTTTATTCAGCTAGCTAGCTGAGGTCCAAGTCAGCCCGATGCAGCGGGTCTCAACAAGGACCCCGAGCACTCAGAGCCAAGGGTTTATATAGCAATTTCAAAGCACTTAACTCATAGCAATTTTCTATAACTATACATTATTCTTGCAAGACATATATCCTGGGGTTAAGCAAGGGCAGGGTAAGACTACTCCTCAATGGTTAGGGAGGTTCTGCACGATAAGCTTGGTATGTAAGATTTACTGACCAAGGTTAGCTGACCAAGGGTCACAGCTGCCCACCACCCGGTGCTCATGATTAACTTGTTTTTCAAGGCCTTACCCAGGCCCAGGGTTTGTTTTTTTTTGTTTTGTTTTGTTTTTTTTTTTCCTCTGAGTCACACTCTCAGAAAATGGTTTCTAGGTTTCTAAGATGGCTATGCTTATGCTAATTTACTAATCTTACTAATGCTTAGATTCTACATTTCCCCACTTTCCTTTGACCATTCCAGTCATGGAATGTTTGTTTCTTCCTGCTGTGTGAGTGAATGATACTGCGGTCTCAGCATTAGCACCTGAACAGCACTCACTCTTTCCCTAACAAAGGCTATTAGCCGGTTTAAGATACAGGGACCTAAAGTGAGAAGCAGTATAAAAATAAGCAAGGGCCCTGCCAGGGTGGATATCAGGGTTGTAAACCATGGGGATTTAGTAAACTAGGATTCAAACAGCCCTTGGCTGGCCTCTCGCTCTCTCTTCCTTTGATCTGGTCTCTCTCTAAGTTTAGACATTGAATCTCTTACTATTCCGGAATGGTCTGCTGTTAAGGTTTAGCTAAGTTTTATTAGTTCTTTTTCCTGACTCTTAATGCTCTCTGCACTCCTTTACACTGAAATAGGCAAGACTGTGCAACCATCTCCCCACAATGCTTTAGGAATTCCTATCTTTACAAACAATCCTTAAATATCCAGGTGAAAGAGGTTTTGATGAGGGCAAAGTCACACAGCCAGAAACCAGTCTCCTAATACTCAAAAGTTTGAGATCTTTTCCATTAAGCCACGCTGCCATTTGTCTTATGATTTGCTCTATTAGCATAGATCATTTTTCCAAAGATGAATTCTGTAAGGGTTTTCAAGAGTAAGGTCTTGAGGTTGCTCTTAAGTCACAGTTACTTCTGGAGTCCCTATTGTTTTCATCCCTGTGTAGAAATGCCCTGCTCCCTCCTTTCCGACCACCTCAATCCTACTTATCCTGCAGTCCATCCAATTTCTTCCTCAGTGAGACCCCCCAGATTCCTGTTGACCTTCTCTGTGTAGCTCCTCCAAGCTAATGGTTCTCAGCTTTACTTGTACATTGGAATTACCTAGGAAGCTTTAAAAACAGATTCCCAGCTTTAATGCCAGACATATTGAAGGTTGGGATAGGGGAGCAGGGTTGGGGGGAGCTATAGAGGATCTGCAATTATTTAATATCCTCCAGGTTTTGATGAAGTCAGTTTGGAGAAACACTAGTGCAAACTGTATTTAGAAGTTAATTAGGTACCTATCTTGTGCTATTCCTTGGATTGTTTTATATTTTTATTTAGTATTTAACTCATGCATATTATTTGGTATTTTACACATATGCATATGTATATATAAATACACACCATATTTGTATGTATATATGTAAACTATAGTATTTACATAGGCCTATACATATGTTAAATACTGAATAATATGCATATGTATATGTGAAATGCATACATTATAACTTGTTCCCCAAATCTGATTCTTAGAAGGGAACACTCACCCCTCCCCTAATTTCCTTCCATAAGGGAGGAAGCTCAGTTGGTAATAATATGTCTGGTCTCTCTATGCTTTTATTCCCTCTGTCACTGGTCCAGGCAGAGTGACTTACCTAATTGGTGTATTTAGAAAAAATAAACTGGTTTTGCTGAGTTTGGCTCCTCCCACATTCCTCCTGGGTATGAGCTGCTTCATGCCTCAGATCTGCATAGGCCTCAGCAGAGCCTATGAACCACCCCCGTTCAGGATTACCTCAAGTTAGGGTTTAAATAATAGGCCTGACCGGCTCTCATGTTACTATGTGTTCTGTGACCTCATCTTTGTTAATAAAGGTGACATGTTGGCCTCCATGCCTTACTCCATTTTTAAATTTCTCAGGCAATTATTCCTTGTTAGCCCCAGCAACCCCTACACCGCTTTTAAGGTAATTAAGGAGCTATGAATTCCACATTTATGTATTGCCATACAGTAGGTGCTTGTCAAATGTTTATTAATCCAAATGTTTGGTCTCTAAAGCCTAACAATAGGCATTTGATTCCAAATATTGTGTGAAGAATTATGTCAATGTGGGGTGGATACAAGGTAGCAAAGACAAGATAGCTGCCTTCAAAGAAAACCCAGTCATATCACAAGAATTTGCCAAATGTTTATATACTTTGTACCAGGCACTGTGCTTGCCAGTAGCAATACAAAAATAAATAAAATA